TGAGAGTATATATTTTGGAAAGCAAAATTTATTCTGACCCCTCTTTCTCACTACCTGGAATCATTTAAACTCTTTTGGAAACTAAAAACAAAATCAAGCATCGTACTCTAGAAAGAGCCAGGAGAAGTTTTTCATCTTTCTGTCACTATTGAAAAGTCTCCTATTTTCATTACTGCAAAATGTTCCAGAAAGGCACCTCGGTAGCAATGGAGCAGCCTGTCCAAAAGCAGAGGTGGCTGGGCTTAGGTGAGGAAAGGCTGATGGTTCTTCTCAGTGCAAAGATCATTTCAGGCATATTCACTGCAAATTGTTTATCTTTAGGTAAGCTCCTTATATTCTCTGTTTCCTTGTCAGTAAAATGGAAACACTACCTCCTACATGATGGACAGTTATATTAGAAAAGCATTTTAAGGTGATTGAATGGCTGATGCTGCGGAAATGGAGATTATTACCATGTTGAAACTTGAAGGGCCTGACCTTGACAAAAAGGTAGAGAGCCTGTCCGCATGATGAAGCAGCATTAGTGAAGCCAGCACTTCCCTTTCATGCCGCTCAACTGTAATATAATCATCTCTAATGTAGTTGCCAGAGAAGCTTTCCAGCCTCGCTGGGAGAACTTGCTTAGGAAGGTCTTTCCTGTGGCATGCAATTACAAAATGAGAATGAAAGGGAGGGTGGGGGATGAATGAAAACAAACATGATTCTAGGAACAACTGTTGGTGGTTAATACTTGACCATTACTTCTTGACAGGATTAATGTCTTTCTAATCGCACTAATCCCTTCTGATAGCTTTATCCATAATCCATCTATTTCAAAGCAATATCCAGATGGCTTCTGGTGGTGAAGAAGACAAATACATATGCAGAATGGAGTCTTAGCAGCAGCTTCTTATGGGCAAAAGCCTTTCCGAGGATATAGGTTTTGATATTGAGGCAGGTCAGCAAAAATGTGCTTTTTATCAGAAAGCAATAGAAAAAGTAGAAAATCCCCAAGGAATCTAGGAAGTTCTGTCTTTATTTGTAAATAAAATACACTATAAATACTCTGAATTTTATCAGTGGCAGTCAAGGCAAGTCTAGAGCTGCTCGAAAAGGGTAGCTACTTATTTGCACTGGACTAGTTAGATTTCTAAGGTATTGAAAGAATTATCTTCGTCACTACCAAAAAAAAAAAAAAACCAGGTATAACAAATTTTGACGTTTTCTGCAGGTTTCTTTCAAAGCAGATATGAAACATAGAGATTAACAGGTTCATTCTTTGTACCATTGACAATAATAAAAACAACATACCAACTGGCTTTGCATTCTTAACCTGTACTGTTAAAAATACCCCCTGTATTTGTGGAAGGTTTCCTCTTTTCTTCCAATTCCTCATTAGGACCTTAATCTACATTCCATTAGCACTTCCACTGATCCTGACTTCTCTGTTCACCTTTCTCCTTCAGCAAAGACACAATAACAAAATCGTTTATTTGTTCATAAGCCTAAAATCATAGCCTTTCATAGATCACATGGAAACTGTCCAAGTAAACAAATTTAATCAAGCCATTCTAGATAAAATATTTTAGCTAGAATTTTCTATACTAACAATCATCTGTGAATTAACTCTTAAATATTTGTCAAATGAAAATGATACAAGCAGCTACACAAACTTTGTTAAAATCATTGTCCATATCCAGCTTTGATCAAAATGCTACAATTCAGAGTAAATTTACTGACTTCCTGACCAACTTTCCCTAATAACAAACAAGATTAGATAGAGGAAAAGCAATCAGTCCTGGCCGCACCAGAACAATTGGTCAAAGCAGATACAGAACTATCTAAGTTTGTTTGTTTGTTTGTTTAAAAAGACATATTTTACTTCTTAAGAATGCACCTTAAAAAGTATTCTCAACCTGTAAATATTGTGGAGGATCAGATCTACACTGTGTGACGGTCTTCAGGTTACCAAAAAAACAACTTTAATGAAGCTTGAAAAACCACAACAATATAAGAATTGTAGCACAAATACTCACACAGATTTTTAGTATATACAACAACTTTGGAAGCTATTCTTTCAAATCATACTCAGGCCCTGCAAATACACAATTTCATCCAAGATCTGTTGGGCAAGGAGGCTGGAACAAAAGTAAAAATAAGCAGGCTATCCTAGAGAGCAGGAAGAAAAGCTATAGAAAGATGGTATTTTCATATTGCAGAAACTATGCAGAAGATAAAGAAGTTATGGAGCTATCTGGTTTATTATGGTGTCTTGTGTTTGTGTCTAGCAGCAGATGTTGCAAAACAAGGTGCAAGAGACCTCTTACATCATAGTAATTAGAGATTTGTCTTAAATCATGAAATACAATGCATAATATCTCATCCAAAACTCATTAATGCATATTTTGAAAGCCTTAGGCTTGATGTGGTCTTTTTCAGTAAAAAATAATAAATAGTTCCTGAACATGAAATTACAAGAAATTGTGTAGATTCTTTACCAAGCTGATTAAATTAATGTGAAGTACTTTAAATACTCAGAAAAGGTGCAAAGTGCTTTTAATTGTCTTATCACTGTTTTTCTTCCTCTTTGGCAATCATTAAAATATGCTACACATGAGATACATCATACATATGGAAGCTGCCTAGCTACATAATTAATTGGATAATTTTAACCGATGAATTAAATAATCATTTTGATTGAAAAAAATGATTTTATTCATTCACCTGTTATTTCAAAACCAACCAGATTCTGGCTTGACAAGATTAGAAGTTCCCTATTTTTCATTACTTTGCATTGCATGAGAGCCTAGTACTGGATGAAAAGTAGAGGAACATCTTTGTTTCAGTCTTAGAGTGGCGAAAGTGTTGGAGAGTTTTTTATATAGCCAAGAATATTTCTGATGAAGATTGGAATTAAAAGGAAAATCTGAGCACAATACAGTGATCTTACTGGAAGCCATTTGGGAGCTTATTCCTCCCAACTTCTGTAATTCCTAGGAAATAAAAAGACTACATTTCCTGTCATTTCTTCACTACATTATGCAAGTGTTAGAGCTCTAGATACCAACAGTGAGGAAAGCCTGTGGTGTCACTACATACTGCTCACTTCATACAATAATTGTGATCATTGGTGTCTATTAATTTCAATGTTTTCTATTTCTTCTCACATCAAACATGAAGCCAAGTGAAAAAATACCGAGAGACTGTAGTCCTATACTAGTTACAGGCATTTGTTCTTGAAAGTCATGATGAAAAACTGTTTTAAATGACATTAGTGTTACAAGACAGCCTTTAGAAAACTGTTTCCTGTGGTCCCTTCTTAAAACTGAGCATTGCAGGACACTAGGAACACAGCTTTGAATCCAGACAGTCGTTTGGACTTCAGCCACTCCACAGTTACCCCTGTTGCACCTCCATAGTTAATTACTTTTGAGGACTTTCTCATCACAGCATGAACTGATCATGACTTTATCTGATGACAGGATAATCTCATTACAGATGATGATCTTGTTAATGAATATCCCCAAGACAGAGCAATCTCATTATTAGCCCCCTCAGGATTTGTCACCTAGGAGTCAGTGTATGATTAGATTCTAGTTGTGCAACATCGCCCCAGATCGAAGTGAACAACATTTGAGGCTGAGGTGGCACCCTCAAAAGGCATATGAACCACTCAACTTATATTTTTCCCCCAACTGCTTTTGGACATACAATCAAACCAGTTCTCATGTTATATACAACAGGATTCATCCTCCTATTATTCTATAGAACCAGTGTAACACAGTAGCATCAAAGAAAATTGCTTCGTACAACCGCACTGGGGTAATTATGGTATTAATCCTATAATTCAGAAAAAAAAAATCAACACAAATCAAAATGCACGTATATTTAAAAGCTGTATTGTCTAGATTACGTTTTTTTCCAACTCAATATATGCTTGCCTTCCTGGATCTGCGATCTATACATCTCCTTTTGGCATCAGTGAGCTGTTAAACTGGCTCAGTGGCCTGTCAAACCTCAAGTTTAAAGACCCATGTCACTATGTGACTGAAAAGTCATGTCTCTACCTCAGACCACTTGAAAACAACACCATCTGGGTCTCTGTCAGAGCTGCCTGGAGCTAATACAGGAGAGTTAATACCAAGCACCCTCCTTATTTGCCTGTAAAAGAGGGGTAGTGCAACTTAAAGAACTTAGCAGAGAATGGTTTAGCTCAGCAGAGCAAGTGTTGCAAAACCACGGGTCATCCTCTGACAGTGCTGAGCAGGGAGGCAAAGGGGGAAGTGAAGTGCCCATAACATTTTTTTTTCTCTCCACTGCGTAATCTCATGCGCCCTTTAAGGGGTTTCCTCTGCTGCACATATAGGAGATACAGAGCCTGTCTTCACTTTGAAGGCATGCTGAATCCTTGTCTGCTCCCCAACATGGCCCAAAATAAAGCAAAAATATGCTATGCTTCATAAAAGGTTTATATAAAATTAAAACTTTATGCTGTTAGGTAAAAAATTAATTATATGTCAAAATCACCCCTTAGCAACCTAATCTCACTTTGAAGCTGGATATAAATTAGTCCTGCTTCACACAGGAAATAACTGGGAGGTAGCGGTGGTGATCAGATGATCTTCAAAGGTTCCTTCCATCCTTAATTATCCTGTGACTCTATGAAATTGTGTACAGAGTTTCATACCTAAGTTCCTATGACTGATTATCACAATAGATCCTACGAACCAAGCCACCACACCAGCAGCTTGTGTAAAACTAATTTAAACTTGATGCTGTTCTGTCCCCATGTGCGCATGCTTGAAGTTCCTTCAAGTAACTGAGATCTCACATGGCTACTAGGAAACATCCTTTTAGCTACAGATATTAGAGATTTAGTGTCACAGGCATAGCTCCTAGAAATCCTGATACACAGGCAATCAGGAGAGAAGCAGGCCACCTGGAACAAATAGAAAATGAAGTTTTATGTTGTAATAATTATATGCAAAAGATAACATCTATTTTGTGTTTTCTTTCCACAGTTTAATGTCTGGGCTAGCAGCCCTGGATGCCAAGACTTCTAGTCGCCTAGGAATCATAACCATCACTTACTATCTGTGGACAACATTTGTGGCTGTGGTTGTGGGAATAATTATGGTCTCCATCATCCATCCTGGTGGAGCAGCACAGAAGGAGAGCACTGAAGAGGGTGGAAAGCAAATCATGAGCTCTGCAGATGCACTGCTGGACTTAATCCGGTAACTGCATTCATTCTTTCCTCTTTCTGAAGGTAACATTGCACTTTGTAAAACTACATGCAGTTCTACATGAGAAACTGATCTGAAGATAAGCTCTGAACTTAATGATAAAAGATTTAAAAAAAAAAAAAAACTTTCAGAGATGATTTTCAGATTATAAGACATTTATACTTGTTCTTTCAAGTAAGATTTTAACAAATGGACACTCCATGCAACAGAAATGCTAGGAATACTGGGTGTGAGACATCTGGAGTAATGTGACATCTGAAGGGACCTGACAACCAGTTGTCTTTAGAAAGGGTCTGCCATGGTCATAGGTTCTCCTCTCCTTGCTTGCACTGACACAGTTGCTTTTTAAACCCATAGCAAATTAATGCATAGAAATACTGCAAATGTTGGGGGTGCAAAGTTTGAAGTCAGTTCCATCTTGTTATCTTTGCATAAAACGAGTGAATGTGTATATGACAGAAATTGACAGAATCTCAATTACAGTTTCATTTCTGTCTAGCTAGTTCAGCTTTCCTTTATACCACAGACAGAGCAGCAGAGTTTGGAAAGATTTTATTCTGCTGAGTCTCATTGCAGGTAAAATATGTAGTGTCCTGATCTAAACATTCATAAACGTCATCTTAAATTTCACTTTCCACACACGCTCACCTGGTAAGAGCTTCCATACATATTATAGGCCTTGTGTTTCTACCCAGACACATGCTTTAGGTCTGAAATTTTCACTGGTTTGGGCAGGCACAAACAACGATAGGATGTCTATCCACTCATTGCTGAAGCTTAAAAAGGGAGCATTAATCTCACTCTCCTTTTGCCATGTTAAGCTGTCACAGCTGCCCTCTCTTTCTAGCCTAAGTGCACAAACTGATTTTTTCCCCCCTCTCCTACAGAAATTTAAAAACTACATTTACTAAATAAGCAAAACACAACTGTGGGGAGTGAGCTTTCTATCCAGCTAAGCACTATCCTTTGGCTTCGATGAAGTCAGTCACAAAACTCCTATAAAGCTATGCGGAAGTCTGGATTAAATGTCATGATGTATCTGCTGGCTTGAGCTAGAAAAGCTGATCCTTTAGGTCAGTGATAAATCACTTCCATTCACAGCTGGAGAGCATCTTCCTAGGCCCAGATTGGCTTATCTTCTCAATTCATTAATTTCCTCTCAATTTATCAATCGCATATGTGCACAGAAGTTAACACAGGAAACATCTGCTATCCTGCAAATAAAGAATTTTAAATGTATAAGTAGTGGAGCTGGTATGTGATAAAGTTGTGGGGTTTATTTTAAAAGCATGAATTTCGACGTGACACACATTCATACAGACTGATTTCAGATTTGAGGCCATTCACAAATAATGAAATGTGTTGATAGTAGTTCTTGTGATGTTATATACGACATTGTCAGGTTAGGATTTTGGCAGAAAGCATTTTGCTAGAAATCGAATTTCTGGGTGAAATCCTTACTTTCAGAAGTCTTTTTTTTTTTTTTTTTTAATCAGAAATTATATCCCCAATCACTCCCCTCCCCCTTTTTTTTTTTTTTTTTTTTTTTTTTTTTTTTTTGCTACATATGGATTCCTTTAAAGTATCCAATCCTTGAGGATTTGACTAGAACTTGTATTGGCAGTGATTTTTGTGAAGAGCAGCTAGTATGGTTGTATCACAATCTATAGGTTGAAGTAAACTACCAGACATCAGTATCTAGTATTAGTCTCTATCCTGTGTCTAATGAGACAGTGACGTTATTCATAACATAATTGAAATTAACGTCCCATTGAAAGTAGTTAATAGTTAGAATACCATTTTTTATTAGATTTAGTTATATGAGTCGGATCAAAAAGAATATTTCTACCAGCCAATCCTATGCTTTGCCTTACAGAGTAATGTAAGTAATGTACTGCTTAGAGTTCTATTTCATAACAGTCATGTTTTTAAGAGATAATTGTAACAGAATGTATGTTATTAAATTGGTTACTAGCTAAGAAAAGTCAGACGGCTTTATGTTATTTTAGGGGAGAAAAAAAAACAGCAAGCAAGGCATCCTTCTTAATATAAGTTCCTGTTTTCCTTTCACTGCTCTAGATTTATTCTATCTTACCAAGTCCTGTTCCTGTGAGGTCACATGCTGCTATTTACTGCTATTAGCTCAGTAAAGGAAAGCCAATCAAACACTTCATGTCAAACAGGCAATCATAAAATAACCATACAAGAGGTCTGGAAGTTGTCAAAGTCCAGCTAGGATGCATTTACAGAGCAAGA